TTTATTTTTGTAAAGACTTTACGAGACGAACCACACTTCGTCGAGCAAAGGTTTGTCGCGCAAAGTGATTTTGTGCGACGATTTGTGTTTCGTTGTGCAAAATTTAGTCGCGTAAGACTTTGAGCGACGAAGTTTAATTTTCGTCGCTCAAAGTCACTTTGAGCGACGAATTGTGTTTCGTCGCGCAAAATTTGGTCGCGCAAGGGGTCTTTTTTACTAGTGAGGATAGGAGCCTGGGGACCATAAGCATTCGAACCCATGCTTCAACTTCATGTTCTTCAACCACATATGTATTAAAATAAAATAAACAAGTAAGAAATTAAAGCAGACATAAAAGAAAATAAATACCCAAATCCCCTCTTCTACCGCACACAACCCCTCTCATCACAAAGCCCATGTGTCACCTTCTCCCGGATGAGAAAGAGGGATAAACTCTTGAAAGAACCACAATTGGCTTGGAGAAAAGAAAGGGGGGTCTCCCTTAATACGGGTCAGGAAGTAGAACGGATATAAGTTGGGTTTTTAAGAGAATTTGCCTTGAATTAATAATTAAAGGATATTTTGGGAATAATGGTGGGTGGAAAGATAGGATTGTGTATTTTTCAAATTTAAATGGTGGGTGGAAAGATATGGTGGGTGGGAAAATAGGACAGGTGGGTGGAAATAGTAGCACTCTAAAACATTTAGTTGTAATAGAATATTTACCAGGTCTGGCCGACGGAGGCGCTGATGGCGCAGGTGGCAGCCATCGAGGCAAGGCGGGTGGAGGAGGGAGTGATGGCTCTGGTGCAAGCGACGGTTTTGTGGTACTTATTGTCACCTCTTTGTAGAAGGGGTAAATTTCGAACCTAACATTACAACTTGGATATAGAACTCGTCCTCCTTGCTTACCCCGCACCAACTGTGTCGCGCCTTTCCGGAGGCATGCATTGCAATCCACGGCGGAGAGGTCCTGCGTGCACTGCCCGAGGCTGTACACCCTAAATGAAATCAGATTCGCCATAAAAGTTTTTTTTTCCGTCGCAAACTTGTAGCTGGCGTTGGCTGCCTTGGGGACCAAGTTGTCCAAAGTTGTAATCAGCTCATCGTCAAGATCAGCTGGTTCCGTCACATACTGTGTCAAATTCCGCTCGCTCCAGGTTTCCAGCTCCGGCGACGTGGCAGCCTCAGAATAGAAGGGTTGGTTTGAGTAGCGTAGCGTGCAGTTGTCGTACCAAACCACAGCCTGTTGGTTGTCGGGACAGCGTAGGAGCGCCTCCGAGGTTGCGTTGGCCACGCATTCTTCGCAGACACGGGCAGACACATCACCACGGCAGAGGAAGAGGCCGTAGGCTGTGCCAACCGTGGCGTTATAGAAGCCCGCGGTGTTGTTGCGGTTGGCGTTGGAGGAAAGGGTTGAGAGGAGTTGGTTGAGATTGGATTTAAAGGTGGAGGTGGAGTTGCCAGCCAAAGTTGAGCAGTTATGGCCGGTGTATGCAGCTTCAGTGGGGAAGCTAACAATGAGCATGGAGGAGAGAAAGTAGAAAAGGATCATTTTTTTTATTAATCGGATATTTTGCATGGAAACTAAACATGGAGCATGCTTCAGTTTCTATATAAACATAACACAATCCCAATACACACAGCTTGACTTGAGTCTAAACAAGAACTAGGTCGTTGGCAGTTCGGCAGTTCTCTAAGAATTTTTGGTTCTACTTCTAGAATCAACGACCAGAAAGACTTGGCAATAAAATTATTATAATGATCACATCAATATTATTATGAATACGAATGTATGTCTATCAATACAATTTCTTCATCAAAATCGGATGATGAGGATATTGGCCCTAAAGTGCGCTACTCACTTCAATGTTTCCGTGTGTTTTTTATTTTTGGGTATATAGTTAGAGAGAGAGGGTTTTTCACACACAATCTCACGATGTTCGAACCTGAGACCACTAGTATGCAAGACCCTTTAGTTAAAAACTTTGTACCCAAAACATAAGTTGCCTTTTTTAAAATTAAAAAAAAATGGTTTAAATACTAACCAAACTCCTAAAAATTTAGACTATGTAGATATTAGTTTTTTAGACTGCCAATTTGATCTTGAGTCCTCAGCACCATGTGCCGCCACATGTCAACTGGCTAGAATTTTGTATAGCCTAGTTATTTTAAACCTAGTAGTTAATTGCTTACATTTTTTTAACATCATGTAGACATCCGCATTAGAGAAAGACTATATATATATATATATTTATACAAACAATATTATACTCTAAACTAATCTAAACTAAAGGGAGGGGGATTCAAACTCGGGCGCAGAATGAGGAGCATATCCGCTAAACTATTCTAAACTACAGAAAGGGGGATTTGAACTCAAGTGCGGAGTGGGGAAGCACATCCGCTCTAGCCAACTCGGATGATATTTATTTATTAATGTTAGATTTTAGTAGGTGTGATGAGTGTCTGTGATGATATCGTTGTTGGTTTATGTAGTGAAGGGGTTTAGGAAAGTAGGACAATAGTTGAAACAAAGTGATTTTATTAAATTGGAGGAGAATAGTACATGGCTTAGTGTAGGCTAATTGGCCTTTTTCTTAGTTTATTGGCTTATTGGCCACCACACTTGATTTAGAATAGTTTTAATTTGGGATATTTGGTCCTTACACTTTGATTGATGAGCTTATTGGCTCTCAACATAGCTTCCTTTGGGTAGCTCTTGGCTCCCTTATAGTTTGGGAGTTCTCTAGCTACACTCCACATTTCATTGTGGTTGCATGCCTATTTATAGGCATTCTTTGCCTACATCACTAAGTATGTACGGCTTTTACTAGAAACTTCTATATTTTACAATATTTATTTTTGTGGCTATTGTTTAGCCATCATGCAACATGAGTGTTCTTGAGTGTTCTTGTTCTAGAAAGTTCTTCCAACTTCAACTCTCTTTGTCTAGCAAACATAGTATGTTCTCCACAATTCTAGAATCATCCTTGTATTCATGATTCTTCTAGTATTGTGTAGAACACAAATGGACATTATTTTTCAACAATTAAAATAGAAAGAATATGCCAAAACAGGCTTCTAGATAATTATGTCAACTTCAACTCTCTTTGACCAAAAAAAAAAAACAAAGATAATTATGTCACAATTTGAAAGAAGATTATGGACCCAAAACATGCCTCTAGTAATTAATTGCTTACACATGAAAGAAGATTATGTCGCAATTTGTGAAACGAAAGCTTAAAAAGCTCCCTGGCGCTATTTAAAAATATAAAAAAATCAATGAAAATGGAGAATTTTAACTTGAAATCTCTTTCAACATCGAAAAGAAAATACCACTAAATCAAAAGCTACTTACTGTAGGAGCTCATAGGTTGAATCAGTGAGATTTCACTTCAATGACTGATGACAACTCTCAATTTTCACATACTAAGAATTTTGTCCATCAATGGTAAGAACTAGTAAGAGTAATTGACATATGCATGAAATTGAAATGAATGAGTAAATATGAGCGGTACGCATGACAAATCATTATATGCAACAAATGGATGTCAACATAACATGCTTCATCTCACTTGGAATAAATTGTCAGAATTTGAAAATTAATAATAATAATAATTTACGGGTGGATCAAATTGCCTTGACTCGGGATCACTGCAAAAGTCACAACTAAATCAATCCCCTAAAAGAATAAATGCATTTTTAGCTTTGATTTTCTTTTTTATCCTGAGCAGCCTCACTAAAAGCAACATATCAAACACAGAGCGGATCACCATTGCATCATAAAAATACCCAATTCATGATTATTCATGTTGGTCAACAATACTCAGTAGAGGAAAAAAAGAACAGAACAAAAAAGATATGGTTCAGCTCTACATGGTCATCTCATGTGGCCTAGTTATCAACAGCATAGACTTCTAATTGGTCCCTTTGATTTAACTTTCTGAATTCTCTAGTGGATGCAGACCTGCTAATCTGATTTGAACTGTACATGTTGCCGTCTTTGTTATACTTGGTGGTGCGCGCTTTAGACTTGGGTAATGGAGGTAGGTTCTTCATGTTCTTAGTAGTATCGGGATGGCCTTGAACTGGGGAAGGGGAGAATATCGGGCTTTCTTTCCGGCCTGCATGATGTACACTAGAGGAGTTGCTACTGGTTGTGCTACGTGGCTCTTCACTTTCGAAATTTGAATCAGCAGTTTTCTCCAGCTCCTGAGGACCCTGTTTACGTAGTACTTAATCTTTAGTAATCCAAGAAGGAATATCTTTTGCTTTTCCAGTGGAAATAGAGGTCATGACTTCAAAATCTCATGAATTAGAATTTGTTAAATTGTTAATAAAAAGAATATAAAAAATCTGGGACAAACCTCAAACCCGCCTAGAACATTTGTATTTGAGCTTGTAACTCTATCTCTTTTCAGAAATCTGACATGCATTATTTTTTTTTTCCTCAACGCGGCATATCATCAGAAACCGTCAAACCATTGATACTGCAAGTATAAGCACCAATCTGATGGTGGTGGTTTTCAGACCTTCCAGTAAAAAATGCAGGTCGCTCAGGTTTGGAAAGACTAATAGTTTCAGTTTTCAGCATTAGAACAACTGATGACATGGTTGGCCTATTGTTTGCATCCTCTTGAACACACAATAGTCCAATGTGGATGTATCTCAAAAATTCATTTGGGCTGCATGAATCTTTCAACAATAGTGGATCCATCAACTCCAACACCTTTCCTTCATTCCATAATTGCCAAGCCTGCAAGCAATAGTACTTTATTAAGGATGTAAAGAGCACTACACTATGAGAGCTACCAAAATAATGATTTGGACAACAATGTTGGATAGTTAAATTAGGGGACTGCTTGGCTCCTCTCCTGAAAGGAATCATTTCTCTTTGGTGCAAATTACGGTTTGAAATTATATATATGCAAAAATAACTCATTAAAAATTTAAAATTAATTTTTTCTACGTACATATTAAATTGTAATTGGTAGATAAATTGGAACGATTACTTTTAAGGAAAGGAGGCTAGTATTCAAACTAAGTAATTACATACTTACATATGCTAGAAGAGTAGGTACACATTGGTCAAAACCTAAAAAGTTCTTTTTTCCTGTTATGATCTCAAGCAAGAGTATTCCGAAGCTAAAGACATCAGATTTTATGGAATACAATCCCTCCATTGCATATTCTGGAGCCATGTAACCACTGGCATATCAAAATTAATGCTCACATAAGAGTTTTAAAATATGAAAATTATCATACATTATTCTTCTTTGTGGTGCATCATATCATAAAAAGTATATTGAGTTATATAAATTGGAACTTACAGAGTGCCGACGATTCTTTTGGTGTTTCCTTGAGTTTGACCATCAAGTCCAACCATTTTAGCCATGCCAAAATCTGATATTTTTGGATTCATATCGCCATCTAACAAGATGTTGCTAGCTTTCAAATCACGATGTATAACTCTAAGTCTAGAATCTTCATGAAGATATAAAACTCCTCGAGCAATTCCTCCTATTATGATGCAGCGTCTCAACCAATTCAGCTGCTCTCGTTTTGTGGGTTCTGCACAAACATTTATCAACACTTGTTACATTCAAGGTTGAATTAATTTACCACTTAGAACTATATATATATATATATATATATTGACAAACAAAAATACTCAAATGAAATTCACAAACCAAATAGAAAGTGATCGAGACTTTTGTTGGATACATATTCATAGACAAGTAGGGTTTCTTCTCCTTCCAAGCAAAATCCCAGAAGCCTCACAAGATTTCTATGTTGAAGTTTGGCTACCAATACAACCTCATTCTGGAATTCTTGTACACCTTGTGTGGAGCTTTTTGATAGCCGTTTTACTGCTATTTCTTGTCCGTTACCAAGTGTTCCCTACAAGGTTATATATAATCATTTCAATCATTTCCATTCTTCGATCATCTTAATTCAGAACTACATGATCTTCAAGCTAAGAATTTCTAATAAAGTACAAATTAAAAAGTTCTCTGCATGCAAAGAGATATCTTCATACCTTGAAAACTGCACCAAATCCTCCTTCACCTAATTTGTTGTTGTCTGAAAACTTGTTTGTGGCAGTTTCAATAGTTCCCAAATCAAATTGCAAGGACTCAACAGTCTTCATATGATTTCCAACTAAGCAAATATGAGTTTTCCAAGAGATTAGATGTACTAGAAAAGGTCTTAAGAAAACGAAGGAATTAATGATCTCATGGGTTCCAAGAGTAGTAAATCTTTTATTCAGTTTTTACCTTTTTTCTGTTGTTTTTTGGCTTGGTATTTCTCTCTGACTCTTCTTACTCTTTTGGGAAAGAAGCATCCGGCCACAATCACAACAAACACACAGAAAGCAACAGGACCAAGAGTACTAGCGATGATTATGAATGTGACTTTGCTTCGTCCTGTATGAACAAGAAGAAAAGTGCGAAAGAAAGATTGCCAAAACATTTATTAATTCCCCACTAACAATTGCAAGTTTTTTTATTTTTCCTTCGATCAGATTTATGTTTTTTTAGCCAACTAGCTTTTAGTCTAGTGGTACTTCTAGAGGTTCCATGTTCTAATCTTCCCTTATTAATTTTAAAAGAAAAAGACTTATTAGTAAGATAATAAGGGCTCTTTCAGTAACGTTTTCTGAGAATATTTTATGAGAATGGAAACGAGAAAACAAATTTGCATTTTCAGGATTCGAAAATGCGTCTGGTAGATGAATTGGAAAACAAATTCAGAAAATAAAAACAGTGAAAACGTGTCTAATAATACAATTTGAGAATAATAATATGTGAGTTGTTTTTCAGGTGTACTTTTGCTAATTTCAGTTCTATTTTTTTTTTTTAAACTCTGATATTTTTAGAGGCTAAAATTATTATAAAGAATGAAAAAAATTAAAGCCCAAAAACTATCTTATCTCCTTTATTTTTTAAATTTTTTATTCTCATTTTCTCTCTTTCCTCCTCTTTTCTTCTTCATTTCCTTCGCATGGCTGTTTTTTTTTCTTTCCTTCTTTCTTCCTCTTTTCTTCTTCCTTTCCTTCCTAGGCTGCACCCACTCCTTCCTTCCATGGCATGAATCCCATAAACCCACCCATCTCTCTCTCTCTCTCTCTCTCTCTAGTTCCACTAATTAATGGTTGTGGTGGTTTGATTGGGTGGTGATGGTGGTTGAGCTGGGTATGTGGTGGTTTGATTGGGTGATGATGGTGGTTGAGCTGGGTATGTGGTGGTTCTTCTTCTTGTCTCTGTTTTTCTTTTCTTTTCTTTCTTCCTCTGTATTTTTTTTCTTAGTTTGCAGATTTGTGTTATTTTGGGTCAGAGAAGATGGGTGTTGTTCCTGTTGGTAGAGAGGAGTGAGCCAAGCCAGAGAGAAGAGTGGTCAAGAAAGGGGGAGAGAAGAGAAGGGTGAGTGAGGAGAGAAGAATTTTGTTTTTTGGTCTGATTGGGAGAGAAGATTGAACGAGAGAGTGAGTTCTTTGACTTTGGTGCCACGTACGATTACATTCCTTTTTTGATTTTTTGATATTTACATATAATTTTTTTCATTTTTAAATTACTTAGTTATTCCCATCATGCCCCTAAAAATTAAAGAAGGTAAGAAATTAATATTTATGATAATAATTATGATATTGTACATGTCTACCCTAAACCAATCCGGACTCTCTCTCAGCCACAATCTCTGCAACTTTCACCAACAAGTTAGTGGAGCCAAATTCTTTTCCCAGTAAGCCCTCCAACTTCTCCAAGAAGTCAGCTATCATATACCCTATGACTCTTCTATAATCGGCATCATGAGTTTCATTCGAAACCAAAATCCTTGTTTGATTGATTTTCTAACTGCGTATTTATGAGGTTGCTTATAATTTGCAAGGCGAGGTATGCAAAGCTGTGATTTGCTTACAAATCGCTGCAACAAGGTAAACGAACACAAAAAAAATTTCTTTTTGCATAGTTTCTTGCGTGCGTTTTTAGATTCATATTGGGTCTTTGTGGTTGTAATTCTTTTGGGTTGAATGGCTTATAGGTCGGGGCTTCTATTTGATCGGCAAAAAGCAATCAGGTTGAGTGGGATGTCTGAAAAGGCTTACACCAGATCCTACAATTCCATGTATGTTGGTTGTTTGTGATCTATCTTTATTTACCTAGTATTTAGGTATATTATCTTATATTTACCTAGTAAGTAGGTACATTATTTTATATTTATCTAATTATTAGGTATATTATCTTATATTTACCTAGTAATGAGGTACATTATCTTATATTTACATAGTAATTAGGTACATTATCTTATATTTACCTAATGATTAGGTATATTATCTCATATTTACCTAGTAATCAGGTAAATATTTGTTGGGAAGACATCACCAATAATACTCCTACTTTCATTGTTTTATATGAACTTTTTTTATTTGTTCTTATGCTTGAAACCTCACAAATCAACCTTATGTATACGTACAGTTTTATGTTGGTGCTTGCCTATATAGGTCTTAATTTTCATTGTAATATGAAATATGTGGGTCATTACTTTCATGACTTAAAATGTATTTTATCTATATATTAGGTAAATATTGCAATAGTTAATTGTTAAAGTATTTTACTTGACGAAACGTTTTTTTTTAATATACAGATGTGTCATGGCAGCAATAGAAGGATTCAAAATTTAAAATATGAAATCCATTTAGAAGGAAAGAATCGATACATTAATTTGGAATTTCAATTAATGTTCTTTTCTTATTTACCTCAAAGGGTAAAATTGACACAAGAAAAAATTAATAAAAGTCAATGGACCCAAATCTACAGCAAAAAAGGTGTGGACTAAATCCAATGATGGCTAGAGATTTCGGACTTAGATCAAAGAACCCCTTTTTTTTTTATTAGTTTGCAGATTTATGTTGTTTTGGATTGGAGAAGATGGGTGTTGTTCTTGTTGGTGGGTTTATCGGTTGTCAAGAGAGAGAGCTAGAGTTGTTGATGGGATGCATTCTCGTGTCTTTAGAAAACACTGAAAACGAAATCACTGAAAACAACTTTTTTTCGTTTTCAACTTTTGTTCACAAAGTTAGATTTGTTTTCAAATAATGTTTTGTGAGGGAAGATGAAAACGATGCACCAAACATGTATTTGCGAAAAACAGGAAACGAAAACAGAAAACGGGCTCTAAAAACATTGCCAAACGGGCCCTAAGTCAATGTAGTAAAAACAAAATGTTCATACCAATCCATATATAGTAAAACATTTAGTTGTAATAGACTTATTTTGTAATAGAATATTTACCAGGTCTGGTCGACAGAGGTGGCAGCGATGGAGGCAAGGTGGGTGGAGGAGGGAGTGATTGCTCTGGTGTGGTACTTGTCACCTCTTGGTAGAAGGGGTGCATTTCGAACCTAACTGTAATAAAACAAGGTCATCACACCCTATGTGGGTGAGTGGGAGATGTAATAAAACAATGATTATGCACTAATCCTTGTTTTATGGCACTACACAAATTAAGGCACTTAGCCTTGTTTTATGGCACTACACAAATTAAGGCACTTAGCCTTGTTTTATGGCACTACACAAATTAAGGCACTTAGCCTTGTTTTATGGCACTACACAAATTAAGGCACTTAGCCTTGTTTTATGGCACTACTCCGTCGCAAACTTGTCGCTGGCGTTGGCTGCCTTGGGGACCAAGTTGTCCAAAGTCGTAACCAGCGCATCGTTAAGCTCAGCTGGATTCTCCACATACTGGGTCAAATTCCGCTCGCTCCAGCCTACCAGCTCAGGCGACGTGGCAGCCTCAGAAAAGAAGGGCTGGTTTGAGTAGCGTAGCATGCAGTCGTCGTACCAAACCACGGCCTGTTGGTTGTCGGGACAGCGTAGTTGCGCCTCCGAGGTTGCATTGGCCACGCATTCTTTGCAGACACGGGCAGACACATCACGGCGGCAGAGGAAGAGGCCGTAGGCAGTGCCAACCGTGGCGTTGTAGAAGCCGACGGTGTCATTGCGGTCGGCGTTGGAGGAAAGGGTTGAGAGGAGTTGGTTGAGATTGGATTTAAAGGTGGAGGTGGAATTGCCAGCCAAAGTTGAGCAGTTATGGCCGGCGTATGCTGCTTCAGTGGGGAAGCTAACAATGAGCATGGAGGAGAGAAAGTAGAAAAGGATCATTTTTTTATTTTTTATTAAACGGATATTTTGCATGGAAACTAAACATGGAGCATGCTTCAGTTTATATATAAACATAACGCGTAATACACGCAGCTTGACTTGAGTCTAAACAAGAATAGTCGTTGGCAGTTCTCTAAGAATTTTTTGTTCTACTTCTAGAATCAACGACCAGAAAGACTTGGCAATAAAATTATTATAATGATCACATCAATATTATTATGAAAATGAATGTATGTCTATTGTTAAGCTCATAATTTCATACATATACATGCCCAATTTACTTACTTCTTTTGCTTAGTTCCTATAATTCTAAGTTATTTCCCTCCCTTTGTGTGTTTTGTAGGCCAATAGAGCAAGAGAGCATAATTCATGCAATTCAAGCATGTTAAGGCCTAATTTGGATGAATGGAAGAAGAGCTTAAAAGACAAACTCATTTTGGCGTGTTGAAAAGTATGTCTTTGTGTTTTTAATTTTTGGGTATATAGTTAGAGAGAGAGGGTTTCTCACACACAATCTCACGATGTTCGAACGTGAGACCACTAGTATACAAGACTCTTTTGTTAAAAACTTTGTACCCAAAACATAAGTTGCCTTTTTTAAAATTAAATAAAAAGGGTTTAAATACTAACCAAACTCCTAAAAATTTAGACTATATTTAGATATTAGTTTTTTAGACTGCCAATTTGATGTTGAGTCCTCAGCACCATGTGCCGCCACATGTCAACTGGCTAGAATTTTGTATAGCCTAGTTATTTTAAACCTAGTAGTTAATTGCTTACATTTTTTTAACATCATGTAGACATCCGCATTAGAGAAAGACTATATATATATATATATATTTATACAAACGATATTATACTCTAAACTAATCTAAACTAAAGGGAGGGGGATTCAAACTCGGGCGTAGAATGAGGAGCATATCCGCTAAACTAATCTAAACTACAAAAAGGGGGATTCGAACTCAAGTGCGGAGTGGGGAAGCACATCCGCTCTAGCCAACTCGGATGATATATATTTATTAAAATAGAAAGAATATGCCAAAACAGGCTTCTAGATAATTAGGTCACAATTTGAAAGAAGATTATGGACCCAAAACATGCCTCCAGTAATTAATTGCTTACACATGAAAGAAGATTATGTCGCAATTTATGAAACGAAAGCTTAAAAAGCTCCCTGGCGCTATTTTTTTTTATAAAAAAAAAATCAATGAAAATGGAGAATTTTAACTTGAAATCTCTTTCAACATCGAAAAGAAAATACCAGTAAATCAAAAGCTAGTTACTATAGGAGCTCATAGGTTGAATCAGTGAGATTTCACTTCAATGACTGATGACAACTTTCAATTTTCACATACTAAGAATTTTATCCATCAATGGTAAGAACTAGTAAGAGTACTGTACAGCCTACAAAAAAAGGGTTTGACATATGCATGAAATTGAAATGAATGAGTAAATATGAGCGGTACGCATGACAAATCATTATATGCAACCATATATCATGCCACAAATGGATGTCAACATAACATGCTTCATTTCACTTGGAATAAATTGTCAGAAATTGAAAATTAATAATAATAATTTACGGGTGGACAAATTGCCTTGACTCGGGATCACTCCAAAAGTCACAACCAAATCAATCCCCTAAAAGAAAAAAATGCATTTTTAGCTTTGATTTTCCTTTTTATCCTGAGCAGCCTCACTAAAAGCAACATATCAAACACAGAGCGGATCACCATTGCATTATAAAAATACCCAATTCATGATTATTCATGTTGGTCAACAATACTCAGTAGAGGAAAAAAAGAACAGAACAAAAAAGATATGGTTCAGCTCTACATGGTCATCTCATGTGGCCTAGTTATCAACAGCATAGACTTCTAATTGGTCCCTTTGATTTAACTTTCTGAATTCTCTAGTGGATGCAGACCTGCTAATCTGATTTGAACTGTACATGTTGCCGTCTTTGTTATACTTGGTGGTGCGCGCTTTAGACTTGGGTAATGGAGGTAGGTTCTTCATGTTCTTGGTAGTATCGGGATGGCCTTGAACTGGGGAAGGGGAGAATATCGGGCTTTCTTTCCGGCCTGCATGATGTACACTAGAGGAGTTGCTACTGGTTGTGCTACGTGGCTCTTCACTTTCGAAATTTGAATCAGCAGTTTTCTCCAGCTCCTGAAGACCATATTTACATAGTACTTAATCTTTAGTAATCCATGAAAGAATATCTTGTGCTTTTCCAGTGGAAATAGAGGCCATCTCTATGTTTCAGATTAAGAAAGGTGTGCCTTACAGCACTATAGGTGAGAAAGAGCCAGAGGAGGTTTCCCCCCAACAATGGTTGTTTCTTCTTCCTTTTTTTTAAATTCTCTCTTTTCCCTTCCCCTTACATGACCGGTTGGCTAATCTTAGTTAATTATGAAAATTGTTCGTGCGCCATAAGACAAGACTTGACACGCCCGGAAAGCTGAAAGTAAGGACTTGTATTTACCTGGTTTGAAGATGCAGAAATTTCTTTTAATTTTTCAGCAGATAGATCTTGTTTCCGGCGCTCACGTTGTGTCCGAGACCGTCTTACTTTAGAATTCCTAGACCTGTCAAAATGAGAAAAATAATCAGATACCTCAAGCAATAAACTAGACATTAAATCCTCACATTAGGAAATTATTTTCCAAGTACATAAGTGCAACATATATTGGTACAGAAATAATAAGTGGCAGCCATCGCCTAAACTTTTTACAAGGTACTACCTGATTCCAGTCAGTAATAAATCTAAATAGCAAGTTGATAACAAATTTAATTTCCCGTTGTTAGCTTTGTTAGCTTAATGGTTGCAGGGTTTTCATGCATATAGGTTAATACATGCTCTTCCCTTACAACTACAGGGTCAGTTGTAATATCCCCACAAATTGTGCTAAATCGTAAATAGCTCCCTTTGTAAACCATATAGGCTAATACATGCTTTAGTACGTTGCTAAAACAAGAAGCTAAGCTTAGGCCACTAGATCTCTTCGTATGGAGTACGGATAGCATTAAAACTCTAAAAGGTAGTGTTTTAATCTTTGGTTATATAGGGCTACGGTTTTAACCACGGAGTGAATAGTCCAGGATTAACTACTTTTTTACGTACTTCTTTTACTTGCTAGAGCATGTTTGTGTTTGAGTATTCATGAGTTTAGGACACCAGGATCATGCCTTCTGTGAGCCTGTAACTCATGAAATCCCAATCTACCATACAATTGAATAATCTCAACAGATGTGCCTATGAATAAGTTTTTGCACCTTCACATTTACTGGAAGCAGAATCCATTAAAGACATAATTGAATGGAAGCAGGAGGAAAACCAAGTTCAGTTAGAAAGCCATGGTTAGTGACAATGAACCAATTAACACGATGTTTATGTCATGCTGTTAGATACATTCATTGTATATCTAAAGAGAGAAAAGTGTCGACTTACTTTCTATGCTCATTGGCTAGTTTCAGTTCATCATCCTCATTGTAGATTGCAGGTAGACCAGAAAGGTCACATGCCAAGGGGCTTGTGAAAAAGAACTGTAAGCAGACGTACTTTTTAGTATACAATATTCACCAATTAATTCGTGCGTCACATGAGCACTTGCTAGACGAGTTCAACACCAGAAAAAAATTAGAATTCATACTATTTGGCATGGATGCTTAAAAATGAGGGAGGAAAAGAGCTAAATTGAAAGAGATGATTTTCAAATAGGTGCAACTTTTCTGTGGATGAAGTAAAATTTTATCGGCTTTAGAAGTACATTAGAATTCTGCATTAGATATGCTACACTTGCAATTCTGAAAATAGTGGATTAACTTTATGTGTTTGTAACTCCTCAACTATATCAGCTAGAAGAAAATACTAAGAACAATAAAGTTAAAAAAAAACAGGGAAACATACATTTAGCAAAACATTTTGCAAAAAGTGCAGTAATTAATAAATAAATAAAAGTATTTTAATCATTATTATTTATTACAGACTTAAGAATATGTGAAAAAAAAAATTGATGCAAAAACATTGCTCGCAATCAAAAGGAACGTAAGTTCCAGGAAAAGCATGTAGTTGGAATAAAAACTTCATTGAAAGAGTAAAACTTTCAATCTGTACTTACTTCATTTCTGAGAGCCGAAGAAGCAGAGCCACGATAGGCAGGATCTAAAGCAAGGAGAGTGCTCAACAGACTCAAAGAAGAAAAAGGGAAATCCTTGAAAGCTTCTTGAAGACTGGGTTTGTATGAACGTGGAGGTCTAAAATTTGTAGACAGCTTTAGTCTTTTCCAGTATTCCTCTGATGGTGTACCACAAAGCCTGAAAATCCTATGAAGTTGCTCAACCTGAAAGCAAGTAAAATGTGTTTGAGATACTGGCCAGCGATAGTAAGATCATAACACACACACACACACACACAATATTGAATTACCTCTGTTCTTCCAGGCAGAAGTGGTCTCCCTGTAAACATTTCAGCCAAGACGCAACCAGCACTCCAAAGATCAATGCCAACTCCATAATCTGTTGAACCTAACAACAGCTCAGGAGCTCTGTACCAAAGTGTCACAACTCGGTTTGTGAGAGGGCGCTTAGGATCTTGAACATAATAATTTGCGAGCCCCAAATCTGCAATTTTCAGCATTCCATTTTTATCTATCAATAGGTTTGATCCTTTGATGTCTCGATGTATAATTCCCCTCTCATGGCAGTGCTGCAGACCTGAAAGTAGTTGATGCATATAGCACTTGACCTGTGTCAATAGTTCAAGTTAGAAACTGAGACTCTACAACAAATCAAAGCATCCAAATTCAGAACCAACGAGTTAAGAGAGAACTTAAACCTGTGGTTCAGTAAGCCCTTCAGGGCTGGAAATAATTCTTGCCAAATCTGAACGCATGAAATCAAAAACAAGATAGAGGCTGTACTGCATTCTTGACGTGGCCAATCCTTCAAGCTTAACCACATTGGGATGATCTAATTTCCGTAAAAACATAATCTCC